ACTGTTAACATTTGTTGAGCACTTACTATATGCCAATCATTGAAACCTTTAAATAATACAAAGTATTCTTTAGTCCAGTGATTCTTGAACAAGCATCTGAAGCACCTCGGGGGTTTGTTAAATACAAATTATGGGTCCCACTTCCAGAGTTGCTCATTCAGTAGGACTGGGATGGAACCTGAGAATTTGCATTTCTAAAAGGTTTTCAGGTGATGCTGAGGCTGCTGGTCCAGGGACCACATTTTGAAAGTAACTAATCAGTTCAACTTCCTTTCCCCTGGTTAATGGTGGTCTTCAACTTTCTTCTTACATAACTCCTGGGACGGAGGACTCATTGCCTATTCTGTCAACCTATTCCATTTCTGGATTGTTCTTACTGTAAAGACAGGAATTTTGTGTGTGTGCTTGTGTTGAGAAGAGAACTAATTCTATTGGCCCTTCCCTGTAGCCCATTCTTTCTGCCTCTGGATTACACAGTCTCATCAGACAGGCGCAGCTAGAAGGGAGAGGAGACCTGTAATCAGACTGAGGGTCTCCCTCATCCTCCCAGGCCATCAACCAAGCCCTGCCTGTTCTACCTTCTAAATCAGGGCTGTCCAACAGGAATATATTGTAAGCTCTATGTACCTACAAACATTTTTAAATTTTCCAGTAATTACATTAAAAATAGCAAAAAGAAGCAGGTGGAACTAATTTTAATAACATATTTTCTTTAACCCAGTGTACCCAAAATATTATCTTTTTAACGAGTAATACCAAAATTATTAGTGAGCTATTGCGTATTCTTGTTTTTCATAGCAAGTTTTGGGTGTCTTTTACACTTAACAGCGCATCTCAATTCTGACCAGCCACATTACGAGGACTCCATAGCCACACTGTACCAAACAGTGCAGTGACCCTGTCCCTAGTCCTTATCTCCCCTGTCATGGCTCGTGCTCACCTGAATGCCTGCCCCTCACAGCCTCACCAATCCACAACATGGCAGCCAAATTGTTGTCTAAAATGTAGTAGATTTGATCATGTCCCTCTTGTGTGGCTCCCCATCGCTCTCAGCATAACACCCGGCCTCTGAGGTCTGGCTCCCAAGGCCCTGCCTCTCGCTTTCCCTTCTCCCCTCCTCCAGGCCCCACTCTCCTGCTGCACTGAGTTATTTCCAGATCCTCAGCACAAGCAGGGCCTCTTCCTCCTAACCCTTTGCACTCCCGGTTCCCCTGCCCGGAATGCCCTTGCAATGCTTCTTCAGCTTCCCTTTCAGGTCATTCATTCAGTCAACAAAATCTATTGAGCACCTACTGTGTGTCAGACACCGGCCTAGGTTCCTGGAGCGAACAATACATGAGGAGGAAATACACATAACAAAAAACATATAGCATGTCAGTTGACGAACAATAAAGCGGGATGACAGGGAAAGGTGGTGCTGGGGGTTACTACTTTGTACCGGGGGGTCAGGTAAGGCCTCTTGGAGAAGGTGACATTTGAGTAGAGACCTGAAGAAGTGAGGAAAGGAACCAGCAGGCTATTGGGGGAAAAGCATTCTAGGCAGAGGGAACAGCGAGTGCAAAGGCCCCGAGGGTGGAACCTAACTGGAGGGCTTGGGGCACAGTCCAGTGTAGCTGGGCAGAGTGAGAGAGGAAGTCATTGGAATTAAGGTCAGAGAGAGCAAGAGGTGGGTCCCAGATGGTGGAGGGCTATGTAAGACCTTGAGCTTTATCCTGAGTGAGGTGGGAGCCCTGGGAGGGACATGAGTTGTCTCGGGTTTTAACCAGATCCCTCTGGTTGCCATGATTAGGACAGCGGCTGGGCTGAGGGCAGGAGCAGACAGACTAGTGGCATATTTTTTAATGCTATTTTAATAAAATTAGTTCCACCTGCTTCTTTTTGCTATTTCATGTTGGCTGGACCAGGGTGGTTGCCATGAGGTGGAGAGAATAGCCTGGCTTTGGGATACGTTGAAGGTGGGGCCAACAGGGTTTTCCAGATATGTCAGATACAGAGTATGAAAGAGCCAAGAGTCAAGGATGACTCCGAGATTTTGGCCTGAGCTTAGGATCCAAATGACTCCTCTTCCAGAAAGCCCTCCTGGGAACCCATAGCTCCCTGGGCCTTGCCCTCATGGGGCCTGTCATGGCCTGTCTCTAGCTGGCCTGGGCGCTTCCCAAGGCAGTGTAGGACTTGTTTACTATCCTACTTCCAAAGTGTTTGATAAGTGAGTAAGAAGCAGAGGCAGGCTGAGCTGGGGTTATTCTTGGACTCACTGTAGGAGGTCAGTCCCCACCCCTCACCCCCTTGGGACCTGTGTTTTCCTGTCTGCACAAGGCAATGGATATTCTAGCCTTTGCCCAGTTTCCTCACCAGAAGAGGACACTGCCAGTCCCATTCACAGGAGTCCCCCGGTCCTCTGAGCCCTGGGCCTCCGGTCCTGCCGCCTGCCCAACCTCACCCCTTGGGAAAGCATTGCGTTGGCCCACGCAGCTGGGTCCTGAGTCAGTCTCACCAATGAGGTGGGATCTGGGATACACCCCACCTCCTCCCTGCACCAGCCAAGGGCAGGGCAACTACCCCCTGCACCACCGTGCCCTGAGTCAGCAGTCATGGCCATGACCAGGGGGTGGGTCTGGGGGTTTAGGGGCCCCATCTGCTGTGCCTGGGGTGTCATGAGGAAGCCTCAAGTCAGACAGGAAGTCCTGGGGCCGATAGCGCCAGCAGGAAGGAATGCCACCCTGGTGAACTGAGTGCGGCCCAGGGCAACTCATGCCCCGCCCCCTCCCTGTCACGGGGGTGTGGCCTGGCCTCTCCCACCGCCCTCTTCCCCTGCCCAGCCTGGCATTGGCACAGTCCACACAAGGCTCTCCTGGCAGCCAACACGGGCCTCCAGACCACAGGTAATGGGACACACGTGCTGGGTGAGGGGCGGGGTGGAGGGTTAATTTTTAGGAGAACAGGCTCTTCCACCGGCCTGAGATTTTGTGGTTCCTAGGTGGACCTGGATTTGAATCCCAGCTCTGCACCTTCCCAGCTGGGTGAGCACCTCAGTCTCCATCTCTGGAGGTATCAGGGGAGGATGACAAATATTCACCTCCCTGGGTTGTTTTGAGGCTTCAGCCAGCCCATGTCTGGTCACAGCAGGTGACCAACTCCTGTTTCTGTCGCTAACTTGCTGCGGGACCTTCCGAAAAACCTTTGATGGCTCTGAGCCTCAGTTTCCCCATGAAGGGCCAAACTCGATCTCTGAAGTCTTCGTCCATTCTGCCCTTGTGGGACCAAACACTTGGGAGGACGAAGGTGTTTCCCCCCAAAACAACCCAGTCTCTGTGCTTTGACCAGCAAGTGAAGGCAGCTGCCCTCCGGACACCCCCTCCGAAGGCGCCCTAGGCTCTCTGGGCCAGGCCTGGTAGACTCGAGAAGATGAGGAGGCCAGTCGTCTCCTCTGCCTTGGGCTCAAAGGCACCTTTGGGGAGAAAATGCTGGAAATGCTGAACAGGCAGAGCCGGGCCTTGGGGGAGGGGAGCCCTGCTGCCTGTCAGAGGCTCACCCAGGTGGCGTGGCCTGGAAGGGAGCTCCGCCCCCCAACCCCGCCCCCAGCATCAGGAGCCCCCTCCGCTCCGAGGGAGCATCCCAGCCCCTCTCCTCAGAGGCGGCCTTCAGGCCTCCAGCCAATCCGTGTTTTTGGTAAGGGGGACAAAAGATGATGGTCATGTGCTTATTATTTTATACTGCTTTCTTTAGAAACTGCCAGAAAAGTTGAATCAGGCGTGTCTGTTACGGGGAGTTGTGGCGAGGGACGTGTGCGGTGTTCGGTTTGGGGTCCAAACCAAGCAGATCTATAAATAATGGGACCTCTCCTGTCTCTGAAACCCGTGGACCTGGGGGCTTGCGTAGCCCTCTAAAACGCCTCTAAACCTGTGCTTTGAAATCCCCTCCAGGCCACCGTCCTAGAGCGCTCTCTCTCCCGCGCTGGCGAGGTGTCCTCATTCTTTTTTTTTTTTTTCAATAACAACTTTATTGAGATACCATTGACATGCCATCAAATTCTCACTTTTAAAGTGTACAAGTCAGTGTCTTTTAGTATATTCACAGAGTCATGCAACCGTCACCACTATCTAATTTAGAATTTAGAATTTTTATCATCCCCAAATAAACCCCGGACCCTTTAGCAGTCACCCCCCACTTCCTCCTTCCCCTGGCAACCACTAATCTACGTTGTGGATTATCTCTATGGATTTGCTTATTCTGGATATTTTATATAAATGGAATCATGTAATAGGTGCTCCTTCCTGACTGGCTTTGTTTTTTTTTTTTTGCACTTAGCATCATGCTTTCAAGGTTTGTCCATGCTGTAGCATGTCACCAGCGCTTCATCCCTCTTTCTGGCTGAATGGTGTTGTATGATTGTATCACGTTTTGTTTATCCGTTCATCAGTTGATGGACACTTGGGTTGTTTCCACTTTGTGGCTGTTATGAATAAAGCTGATGTGGACATTCATGTGAGAGTTTTTATGTGGACATTATGTTTCCAGTTCTCTTGGATGTATACCTAAGGAGTGGACTTGCAGGGTCATATGGTGAATCTATGTTTGACATTTAGAGAAGTCACTAAGCATTCCCCAAGGGGCTGTACCATTCTGCAATCCCACCAACTATACATGAAGCCTCCCAATTTTCCACATCCTTGTTAGCACATGTTATTTTCTGGATTTCTTATTGTAGCCATCCTAGAGGGTATGAAGTGGTATCTCATTGTGGGTTTGTTTTGTGTTCTTTTTAAAGTTTTCATTATTTAAATAATCTCTACACCCAACATAGGGCTCAAACTCATGACCCCGAGATCAAGAGTCGTATGCTCTTCCGACTGAGCCAGCCAGGTGCCCTTCTCATTGTGCTTTTGATTTGCATTTCTCTTAATAAATAGATGTCGAGCATCGTTCCAGGTGCTACTGACCACTTCTTCAGAGAAATGTCTATTCAAATCCTTTGACCATTTTAAAGTTAGGTTCGCATTTTATTGCTGAGTTGTAGGCATGTCTGTTTCTCCAGGGGAGGATTCTGAGGCTCTGAGAATGAATGTGGTGTGCAGTGATCCCAGTCAGTGGAAGGTAATGGTGGGAACTTAATCCAGGTTTGTCTGACATTCAAGATGCAACAAGCTCCTTCTCTTGCACTGGACACCTCCTTTCTGGTTTTCACTGTTGCCAAATTACATGTGTGTGGGGGTGGTGGGGAGACAGGAGAAAAAGATGGAAAAGAGAGAGGAGACAAAGAAACTTAGGTGACAGAATGAGAAAGGAGGCTGGACTGGCTCTGGCTGTTTATTTTTTATTGTTTTTTTTTTTAAGATTTTATTTATTTATTCATGAGAGACAGAGAGAGAGGCAGGCTTCCCACAGAGCGGGGAGCCCAATGCGGGACTCAATCCCAGGACCCTGGGATCACGACCTGAGCCGAAGGCAGACGCTTAACCATCTGAGCCACCCAAGTACCCTGGCTGTGGCTGTTTAAATAGGCACCTACCTTGGAGAATCTGAGCTGGGGAAAACCTTTTAAGAGCTTTTGGTTTGGGGCGCCTGGGTGGCTCAGTCGTTAAGCGTCTGCCTTCGGCTCAGGTCATGATCTCAGGGTCCTGGGATCGAGCCCCGCATCGGGCTCCCTGCTCAGCGGGAAGCCTGCTTCTCCCGCTCCCACTCCCCCTGCTTGTGTTCCCTCTCTCGCTGTTTCTCTCTCTGTCAAATGAATACAATCTTAAAAAAAAAAAAAAAGAGCTTTTGGTTTCTTCCCATTAATCTTGATATGTTGTTGGGGAGGGGCTCAACAATTTTTACTAGGGGGCACACTCCCCCCTAGTTTTTCTTAGTTCCTAAATCTGAAACAAATCCGATTCAACCCTGAAACCCAAACAGGGAGCAGCATCCCCTAGTGTCTAGCTGGGTCTGAGGATCTGGAGCAGTGGTTGCCACACTTTCTTTTTTTTTTTTGGAGGGGGGGTGGTGCGGGCAGGGACAGAGGGAAAAGGAGAGAGAGAATCCCAGGCAGGCTCCACACCCAGCACAGAGCCTGACCCAGGGCTCAATCCTGTGACCCTGAGATCACCACCTGAGCCGAAATCGAGTCAGATGCGCAACCCATTGAGCCACCCAGGTGCCCCGTCACACTTTTCGATTGCACAGGCTTCTCAAGAAAAATGTTTTAGGCACTCCTAACAGATGCATATTTATAGATTTAGAAATGATATACAAGTACTGTGATGATTAGCTAATGTCTAAAGGCCCAATATACACTCAGTGTGAATTTAATTACCAAAATAGTGGATGGAAGTCCACATACCAAGTAGTTTTCCTATTATTATTTCAGTAAGCAATACCGTGTGTATGAGATCCCATTCATTGTTTTCAACGTGGTAAGGTGGCTGATGAAGGTCTTGAGTGAGGAGCAGCCAGGGGTCTGTCCCGCACTTTTCCTGCTCTCGCTTGCACTTTCTGGATTAGAGTTATCTCCATCTGTGGTTTCTTTGCAGGGCCTCTTTGAATCCACTTGTCTACTCTGTAGGGGCTGATTCAGTTAAAATGCATTGTTTGATCCTCAAATCCACCCAACCTGGCACCAGTGTACTGCAATATACAGCCGTACAATATATAGGCTGAATGTAGAGAAATGAAAGACAGGGTCGCAGCAGACCTATTGTGGGGCTTCCCACTGGCCTGGGGACCCGCACTTAGTAGGCATGACATTCAGTATCTGACATATAGCCAAGGGTGCCCATCAGGGTTGAACTATATACTGTTAGCTGGTTTTAGTTAAAAATTAAGTAGAAACAGATGGACTAATATGTCCCTCCTGTACTTTGGAGATTATAATTTGGGAGCCTGGTAGGTTCTGAGCTAAGGACATCTAACCCAACCTCTGCCACCCCTCATGGCAGGGTGCCCATGACCATCCAAAGCAGTTCTCTAAAGAATTTTAGAAAATTATTTTATATATTGAGCTGGCATCTGCTCTAGTGACATCCCAAGGTCCTGACCTCTGGAGCTCGTAGCCCCACGTGGTCCCTCTGTCCTGCAGGAAGCCCTGCAGATACCTGGGGCCTGTGACCAAGTCTGTCCACGCAGTGCTTATCCCTAGGCTTAGTGCCCTACTCCTCCAGCTACTTCTCTTGGCTTTGATCTTAATATCCCACACATCCCCTGGATTATCTCTGTTTGTCCAGACCTTATTCTGTTCAGAACCCAGGATTGAACCTAGGACGGGAGATGGTGAGATATGGGTCACCTTCTTCACTGTAGACTCTGTCCTTCTGTTAATATGACCTAAGGCTGTGTTAGCTTTGCTCTGTAGCTCTATCACCTTGTTGGCTCATATTACACTTTAACAAACAATGGTTATGCACCTACTATGTGCTGGACACCAAGTTAGATGCTTGTGCTAACATTTACTTACCTTTCAGAGGGTCTTTTAAAACTCCTAGGTCTTTCTGTATGAACGGCCTCCAAGCTGGGTTCACCCATCCTCTTTCTGCACAGACTTGATTTCGTCCCTTTTTAACTTCTAGGTTCAGCCTAGGTGCCACCCTGCACTGCTCAGAGGCAACCTTAGGCCCTGCCTGCTTTGCTGGGTGTGCTGTGGCCAAAGGGCTCATGTAGATTCATAACGGGTCCATCTGGCTTGTGGTCCGCTAGCTGGGCAGCGTGGGTTGTTATCCCGCCATTAAACTGCCTGATGGTGGAGGAGGTGGAAACTGAGGCATTTTCCTTCTTTCCCTCTGTGAGGTTCCCCTCATGCTTGACTTCAGACTCAGATTTGAGTTCATATCTAGACGCCTTGCTGTGTGACCTTGGGCAAGTCCCTTTCCCTTTCTGGGCCTCAGTTTTGGTCTCCAGGTTACAACTCTGTGGAATTGTAACCAGGAGAAAGGGAGAGACCGCCAAACCTGGGGAGCTGGGGGGTGGGGTGGGGTGGGGTGGGGGTGAGGTGAGCCTGGGACAGGAAGGGGGAGAACGTTGAAGAAGAAGGGATGTGAACAAGTAATATAAAGGAGAGAAGGAGATGCTAAAGAAACTTTGCTAGGCTAGCATTTCTCTAAACTCTTAAATTCAGTACTTTATGACTTCTTTTTATGAAGCACTTTATCTAAGCCAGTGGCTAGAATATAGTAGAGAGTAAGAAAAACATGATTCCTCTCCCCAGGGAGCTCAGAAGTAAGGTCCTTTTCATCTCAATCCTCACAGCAACCCTGCAAGACAATGACACTAATCCTCATTTTACAGACAAAGGAAATTGAGGCTCAGAGAGATAAAGTGATTTACCCAACGTCACAGAGCTGGGAAGCAAAGTGATAAAGCACGTCTTGGGTGGGCTCTGTCATACCCCATTGCCGCAGTGACTTAATCAAGATACCTCTCAGTATAATGTCCTGGCAAATGACATGATAATTTTACGATGTACTTTCCTATCCACAACCCCATATACATTCCAAAATGTGAATAATAAGAGTGACATTATTTTGTCTTGTAAATGAGAATAAAAACCTAGAAGGGGGAAGTGATGTGCCTGAGGGCCCAGGGTGGGTTGGAAGCAGGGCCAGGACTAGGCTCTTGGTCTCATGACAGCTGACTCAGTTTCCTCCCCACCCTGTACATGCCCCGGGATGCTGAGAGGATTTACCAGCCACACCTTGGGA